TTAAGCTTTAAAACACCAAGCAATACTCACCAACAGAGCAACACATGAACTAACTTACATGAAATCCAAAACCTTTATGGTTTGTTCAGCCTGCTAGCTAGTCTCTTCAATCCAAGTGCCCATGCATGTTGTATGTAGGTAGAGGTTGACTGGGGGAATACCCTCCTCTGCAGCTGTCTGCGTATAGAAGCTATGCCTTTGCAAATCATTCATGCAGCAAGTTCCCCACAAACAGTTGAAGCAAAAGTGAGAACGCGCTGATTCGTCATTCTTGACACGCAAGTACACATACAATAAGAGATGGAGAAGAATTGAGAAGTCATGACAACAGCCTATTCTAGTCTCTGAATTACTAATTACACCAATCAACCACATCTTTAACTCCTTTCTTTGAGAATAAATGCATAAAGCTCTGAGTATCCAACGTGTCTAACGATGAGGTATAAGTAAGTCTCATCTCAACTGGTCATCAAATAAAGATTGAGAATCAACTGGGCAAACTGGGAGTTACCTGGGATGACTTTCAAATAAGCACAGAGTATGATCTATGACAAATAAGAGACTTAGTTTCTCAGCATTTTCAATACTATTCTATACAATGCGTTTTAAAACAATGCTATCTCTATTATATTAATAATCAATAGTATCAAAAGTTCCAATGCTTTTAATAAAATACTGATCTTCTGTTATAATCTAATCAAAAAATGCCAGGACCAGAAGGTAGAGAGTACTGTCTAAATTGCATACATTGGCAACATTACAAATGTATTCATGCAGAAATATGCCAGCAAAGTTTGGTAATTAAAAATAAAAAAACTACCCAACATTAGGACAAGGACTTTTATATTTGCTGTTGTGGAAAGGATTTTATATAATTAGATTTTTTTCTACTATCATGTCAAAGTTTAGAATTCTGGTTTCTTGACATCCCTATAAAAAGTATGTATAGAAACATTATACAGCATTATGCAAAAAAAAAAAAGCAAGCAAAGCTCAATACTGATCTTGGAAATATGTGTATAGGAGTGTTGCTATAAGAAATAACAGAAAGGAATCTGTCTCTCTTGCCATCCAACGAACAGAAGGACACAGAAGCTACAGTATACAAGCTGAGTCGCACAAAAGACTGCTTAGACAAACCTGCACAGTATGAATACCTCATAGAGCTGGAGAGGTTTAAAAAATATAAAATAAAAAGCACCGTCTAATGGCTTGCTCATGGATGCCAAACACACATTCTGCACTCTTGAAGGCAGCGTTCACATTTTTTTTTGACCTTGATGAATTATCTGTTTTTATTGACAGCACTTATTGATATTTCTTAAAAGCGCAGGCTAATGGAGTTCTATTGAGATGACTAAATGAGTTGCTGGTGCCCAGATTAGCCTGGCCTCCTCTCGCCGGCACAGCTTGCATTATCATACAGAGCAGACGCATGCGTGCTCTGAGTCCCAAATTCCTGCAACTGACATCTCCAGGGGAACAGAGGAGCGATGACTACATCCGACCTACATTCACCCCACCCAGGCAAGCTCTCTTCCAACTAATTACACACACAAACATGCATACTCAGCCACACTATAGATGGATTTACAGCATATTAATACTCACAGTAGAGGGAAATCTTTACTACTTCATGCATTTTACAGAATAATACAATTTCAGTGAGGTGTAGGTCATGCTACTTTACATTTCCAAAGACACATCTCTGAAAAACTCTCACGACTGAACATGCTCCTGGTGACCTCCTGAAGATTGGGAGAGAGACGTTTCCCAGGCGCTTGCACAGGCTTAGATGGAAATATCATTTGTGTGATGGGTTGTGAAAATGCTCCAAGCACAAAAACATTAAGAACAAACCTAAGGCTACTGGAACTCGTTCAAATACCCCGGGCATGGAAACAGCACTCTTGGAATCCTATCACATGTCTTATGCAATGAACAGATTGTATACTTATATACACATTGTCTCAGGTGTTTGGATTCTCAGTATTAAAAAAAACTGTGACAGGGAAAACACCCTGTTAACAAGAACTGAGAAAGGATCGTGACGCAGGCTCTAGCCTATGAGCACATCTTCAAACCACTTTTTTTTTTAGTGTTTCCTGTGCTGTACAGCATCCTGGTTAGAGTGATGTGGTTCTTCACACTTTTAAATGTGAGGGGTATTTCTACAGTTGCAGCCCACATTCAGGCCAGAATCTGTAGATCTGTGCAATCGTCACTAAACCAGAAACTGCTTGAAGAGCGTCAGTCTCCTCCAACGCTGACTGAATCAGTAACTTATACTGATACATAAGACATCATCTCAGTAATGTCAAATCTACATTATGTTTCACACTTAAAAAAAAAAACTCATCCACCCCGGCATGTAATGTTTTCATGTTTGTTTTTTTCTATAGTAAAAAAAAAAGAAGAAATATTTTGAACACAAACACAATAAATCTCTTCTAATTTAATATTTGGTCAAAGCCTGTTGGTCCACTTAATCTGATGGGCCTCATCAAACGTTATTAGTGGATAAACATATTTTAAAAAATGCATTATAACTCTGGACTGACTCGCTGAGTGGATTATTTAAGTGAATTTTTAAGACACCAACCTTTAAATTAAATTCACACCATTTTTAAACAAAAACATGTCTTCGGTAACCTTGTACCTATATTTCATTAATTGTCAACTGTACTTTTATGATGCCACCTTAGTTCATGCTTTACACACAAAAACATGTTTAATGTGACCTTCAAGTTCAACTTCAGTTTTTTTTTTAATGGCGCAATAATGTGAATTTAAAGAAAACTTCTTGTATGATGTACTACTGCTTGAAAGTCAAATATAGGAAATCTGCCTTAGTCAATTCATCCAAAAGAGGAATAAACCCACTACTGGTTAGCTATCAATAATATTGTAGACAAACAGTAGATCAGCTGCATTTTCAAAACAGCTCCTCACAATTTGGATTTCATAAAGTTTCCAAATCGTTTTATAACATCTATTTCTAACTTTGAGGTATTTAATACAAGGTTTTATTGCATAACAATGGCATAAAGGATTACTTTACAAAGATCAGCAGCTGATTGACCTTCACGATTAAGCTGCATTTGACAACAAAAGGACCAAAAGCTTGGCACACATTAGGGAAGCTTATAAGTGGATTAATATCATGTAGTTATTTCTGCCGGTCTACAGTGGGAATGTGACTTAGCAGGTAGGGAAAAGCCTTAACACTGCCAGCATTACAAGTGTAACTCCCACTGAGGCCACCCTAGCTTAAATGTATAAAAAGTGTTTGCATTCAAATGTTCCAAAAGAAGGTGTCAACTAAATGTAATGTCTTATCGACAGATATTTTAGTTGGTCGAACTCCATGACACACCATAATATCAGAGCTAAAGTCTGTGTAATATTTCAACAAGTTTAAGCCACCTACATTTGCTTTTAATAAAAGCTACAATCTTAACAAAAACGATATAGGAACACATTCTAAATGGATACAGGCAGTTAAGTATGTGCTACATACTCTGCAACCGGATCTGGTAACCTTCATAACGCAGTAACAAAGGAGAATGAAAAACACTGCTGCAACCTTGAACCAATGTCTGGAGAGAATTGCTTGTCTGCATTAAATGGTTAAATTCAATGGTAAAGATGGAAGGCTGTATAGAAAATATAGAGGTGACCTCCCTACTGAATGAGAATGACTGTTACTGAATACAGGAATGCATGCAGACTGACTGACAGCACATATGCTGTTATGTTACTGACAGTTAAATAAGGAATGTTGAAGGTAAAAGAGAAAACATGGGTTGCAGAATAAAACAATTAATCTCCTCACAAAAGGCATTGCCACTTACTCTGAAAATCATTCATTTACAGTAACACATGCCTTCTCATCTCTTCTTCACATGCACACGAGAACACACACACCTCCATCCACCCGGTCCCAACGCCAGATCTTGTCGCCCCAGGAAATGGGCTTCATACATCTTGTCTGACTGCAATAAAGCAGTGCCTAAGATTCTATTTCCAATAAACGTTGACTGATTGGAAAACTCATTCTAATATCAATTTCCATCTGGGCCCTTTAAAAGGCAATCAGCATAGCTTCATCTCGGTATATCATGGGCTCCTTGAGATGATGACACAGCAGCACTGGCTCTCTCCTTCTGCATAATGGCCTTCTCCTATCAAGGCATCTGCAATGAATAATACCACCCATGAATAGGCTATTTAGTCTGTGTTCGCACAGATAGGGGCCACTTCTCTGAATATTAATCCAGGGTTTTACACTTCATATGGTTCTCTCAGGGCTGCACCATTTTTCACTCACTGGAGTAAGGCACTTAGTGTGATTTGGCACACTCATAGTTTCTCTAAGCTTCCACAGAAGTGACGAGGGTGATTACCAATGGCTTCTAACTCAATTTGAGCCACCCAACATACACAAAAACACTGATTCATTTTGAAGACTATGTAACTCTTTTTTTTTTACAAATGCTGTCGATAGTTTATAAAAGAGAGAATGCTCTGCAAGAATTTATATGAACAAAAAAACTGATAAAAGTTACTGTATATTGCGTTGCAGAAACCCAAAGATCTAAGAGAAGAAGACTTACTATTAACAGAAAGCATCAATTTCATCATCATGGTGTTCATTTTTTATGTTGTCTAAAAATGAGAGATGCCCCATTACTGTCACCGTCACCAATACAAATAATGATGTGTATTACACCAGTGCATCAGTATCTTCCTCTAATATGCATTCATCTGAGACTATGATTTATTAACCTACCCTCAGTGCTAGCAGATAATGTAATGTAACACAAAGCTTGCAAAATGTCAGAAATCAGTGTTTTCTACTGATAGTTTTTTTTTTTTAAATCATGCTAGTTACAGAGGGATACTCAGTATCAGCTGATACTACAGTCTTTGGTCTGGAAATCAGTGTTGGTATTGGAACATCGCCATATAAAAAAAGGCAGAAGGTCTTTTTTACCCACCTTCCAGCCGCTGCCCGCCTCCCTGTAGTAGGGAAAGTTATCACAGATCCACTGGTAGATCTCGCTCAAAGTCATCTTCTTCTTTGGGGAGCTGTTGATAGCAAACGTGATAAGGCTGGCGTAGCTGTATGGAGGCTTGCCGTCCTTGTGCTGCTGCACCTCCTCCTGGTCCAGCGTGGTGTTAGCATCCAGTAGGGCACTCTTCTTGCCCATGCCTGGCCCATGGGCATTCTGGGCATCTGCCTTGCGGATGGCCGCCTGCATGGTCAGCTGAGGAAGCCAGTCCATGGAGGTGAGGCTGCTCTCCAGCTCCGACGTCATGGTGACGGCAGGCTGGGCAGGAAGGGGGTGGGGAAAAGGTGGAGGCGGTGTTGGGTGCTCTGCACCGGAAGGAGAGTGGACCAGGTGCGGAATAACAAGCGGGGCAGATGACAGGTTGAGTTTGAAGTCTCGCTTAGCTCAAGACATCCGCTTCTGTAGGTCGACTCTGGAGAAACAGGAAACAGAAATGCTTTTATTAGTTAATTGCTCTTTGCTACACGGAGCAACTAAACATTTGAGATAAAATATTATGCATATCAGCAGTACAGCAGAGAATTAAAAGAAATTGAAGCGAAGAAGCAGCTCTAAACAGTTTGCCCTACATCAAAAACCAAGTGTCTCTGTAAAGTATGCATATATATTTCGCTGTGCAGGAGATCAATCCCACCACTTTCTCCACCACTTGCTGCTCTCAAAGCTGACTCATAGCTGGGACTCCATCTGCACACAGAGGGAGTAAATGCCAGGCAATTGTTTTCACAACTGCCAGCCAAATGGGGGAATGGCTCAGGAGGAATTCCGACTCTCTTGAGGGTAGTAAACCCCCTCTCCTTTCTTCTTTGCCTGCCAGCTTTCCTGCCTCCTCCCCTTCCTCCCCCCAAATGGAGCCTCTGCCGTAAACAAGCCAGCCAGTGTCGTTTTGCAAAACGTCCACGGCTGCTCTGTGAGAGTCGGCCATGCTACCCAGAGTGCCGCCCACAACAGCCTGCCTCTCTCTGTCCCTCTCAGCACACTGTCCTCCTGGTCTTAAAATAGAGGGGCAAAGTAGAAAGGCATAAAGTTACACACGTAGGTGAACTCAGGCATTTGTAGAGAAGAAAAAAAACTGAGCAGGATGACATTGCAATCTGGCGGAGAGGAAAAAAAGGGGAACACTCAAGAGAAAGAGAAATCCATACAAGTTGTGGTATTTTTCTCTTTAATAAGAATGGTGAATATAATGATTTAATAAGACGAGTGTGTACTTTTGTGTTTGTGTGTGTTTGAGCATGTGTGGCTTTGAGCGTGCACTGAAATTGTCAGGCAGGTCTTGAAAGTCCTCAATGTCTCAAATACAGTGTCGTTTAAAAAGGTTGATATATGGAATCTTTCTCAATTGTCTTTTACATATGAACCAGTTGCTTTTTATCTGTGGTTCAAACTTGTATTTTACCTCAACAAAATAGATCAAAAATGTAATATCTTCCTTACTTCTTAGTGATTAAAAAAAGAAGGTTGTTTCAGAATAAAAATAAAAAATATTTATAGAAGTTTGCTGTCAGTACAAGATGCAGCAGGAAAAGTAATGAAATCCTAAATTGGGCGATCTCCTTTGGCGCCAGTCGGCCATAAGCAGTTTGTGGTTGTCCCTTTCAATTGATCTCACACAGCAGGGGTTAGCTGGTGCCCAGCTGCCAATTCAATATCTGCTATCAGTGTAGACAGGCAGAGACAGATGATGAAGGCAAATTTTCATACATCCAGACATAATACACAAAATTGGATAAACCAAATTGAGTCCGGGGAGATCATTAATGTGCATTGGTTTTAAATAATTCTTTATAATCACTTAGAAATTAAAGATATATTGTTTTGTTTAAAGTACTGTTGGATACTAAGTGATACCGAACATCAAACATCCTTTGGTTATCAAAAGATTTTCTCTTTAGGCTTAAAAGGGTTGCTCTGATGGAGAACAGCATCTGTGTTATTAACCTTTAATTCATGCCAGGAATAACATTTTTACAAAAAGGTAACACTAAAAGTCTGAATCTACTTCAACATCTCCTACAGCAGATACCAATGTCTTGTTAATTTGTACATTTCAAACCTTCATATTTTTACCAAAGTGTTGACTATTAATCAACTTAGGGCTAAACCCAAAGCTGTGGGAAGGGCAATAGCAACAACATTAAAGCAGCATTTATAGCCATATAGCAAACTAGTAAGCTCAAAGGTGGACAACATCAAAGAAAGGCTATGCTGTAGGGTGATGTGTGTTTTTATGATGTGAAAACTTGTCATCTTTGAAATCTTTTTAAAATGACAGAAAACAAGCTGCCCACAACTGGTTCTAGCTCAACAAGACAAAAAAACAACAAATGATTTACAGCCACATTTCAAGCTTTTGATACTTAATTATGGGTTTCAGTTAGTGTTTCACTTTAGTCTGTTTGCCTGTAAAAAGAGAATGTTGAATGTGTTTTTTATTCTTCCTTTATTAAAATTTGCACCATGTTTGTTCACAGGTTGGAGTTCTTGATGAAAAGGCTTTGATGTAACACTGCAGTCATGAGCAGACTAAAAGATGAGTCCACTTGCTGTCTGAATACTGACAGGTGAGTCAGCCTACTGTTAGAGAACCGTTCCTCATCACCGAAAAGACAAACGAGTACATTTCTCCACCCTGTAATTGAAATAAAGGTGACTCACAAGCTGCTAATGACAGTCATTTTCCCCTTTAAAATGTGACCTATTTGAAAATAAATCTACATATTAACTTAGAGGGCCTAAACACTTTATTAGTGTACACCCTTTTAATTCCTGCTCCATGCTTATCAGGCATAGATTTTTAGCAAATGTCACACCTTCAAAACAACGTCAACCTGTGCAATTTCCACTGTGAAATGTTTTAGACTGTAGATCCGACCTTAGATGAATTCATTACTTATCATGTTTCATATCCAGCCAAAACACTTTTGATACACGTTTAAGTTTATCATGGAATATACAAACATTTATTTGAACCTTTACAGCAACAAATGCATAAAGATGTGATTACAAGTAGGAATTGCAGGGTTACTCATGTTACAATACGATACAATACAATCATATATTGTATTGTATTCTGCAGTAATTGATATATTTCAGGACAATCATATAAGGGATGCAGTACTCGATTAATAGAGTATTCTATGGAATAATTAAAAAAAGGGATATTCCTTGCTAAGCTATTTTTTTTCATAGAGACAAGTCTCTTAATAATTGAACAACTAATTTTGAAAATCAATATGCTTTTCTTGCTTTCTGTTCACCTAATGAAGGATTCTTATTTTAACTTATAAATAGGCTTAAATAAATGTCATACTGTTAGTTAATTAGATTGGCTAATGTACATTTATTTATTATGTTGAAGGGATGCCCGACATATGCCAACCCTTCTCACTGAAATCTAAATAAAATAGCACGAGCAGCAATGTAATTAGTAGATATAATTAGTTGTGATAGTAAGGGTGAATAAATGATTATCCTTTTTGTGTATGCACACAGACTTCATGCCACCCCTGCATAAGTCAAGGCCCTGGTTGGGCCACCCTAGTCAAAAATGTCTGGATTCTGCCCTGCTTGTTAAACTAATGCGCTTGCAAGAACATTATGATACTTTAGCCAGCAGCAGGACAGAGGGTTATGTTAATGCAACAGAGGAGGCAATAAGGGAAGGACAGGGACTCAACTTTCACCCTAAGAAAAATCAGACAACTTTCTGAGAATCACAATCTCTCCTTCATCGATCTCAGCCACGATGACCGACACTGCTTCTGCTAGAGAGACTGTAACTGTCAATTAACATATGTATTAAAAGTTGACAGGTGAAAAATTGCTTTCTCTGTGTTGTACATTTTTCAGAGAATTATCTTTGAAAGAAGCCAATAGAATATGGTAAGAGAAGTTGTAACAGGTAAGAGGCTCAGCTTAATTCAGATCCTGGCGCCGGGTCTGATACAAACCATAAAGGATTTGTGTCAGTCAGTGTGCTTGTGCCAAAGACAGAATCTGAACCTGGGTATAGGAACACACAAGCAGAGCATAGGCATTGCTCAGCACATTGAAAAGCATTAAAGACGCTGCTGCAATAGAAACAATTGAACAAAAAATGTGTATTGCATGCCTTTCTTTGGGACAGGTGGGAGGTTGCATTGGGTTGTCAGCTGTACAGATATAAGCATCCGTGCGAAACACAGTGCACTGTAAACTAATTCAAAGCCTTGAGGAAAACTATTTGCCTTATCTCTATATCTCAATGATTTGTAGTACTGATGTTAATGTTTCTATTCTTTCTGAGCCCCCACGCTCAGCATGAATAAGGGCTGAAGCTGGCAGCAGAGATGAACAAACAGGCAGAGCCTTCTGGTGACGGCTGGAGGTGAGCTGACAGAGACAGAGGTTGATGAAAGGAGCTCCGCCTGCTACACGGAGATGTATGCCATTTGACCCTTTACGCTAATGATCCAGCTGCTACATAATCTGTCGGGCCATGTCGGTGTCTTAATTAGAGAACCTTTGGCTGTGGCAGGAATGATGAAGCACGACACAAGCAGGCAGTAAGGCGGCCCTCCTGCTGCCTTCATTACCCTTCCGGGGCTGTGGGACAGTCAGAGCGGGGACAAGCCCCAGCGTGCTGCTGTGTCAGGGAGCACTGTCTGACTCTGAGTATGTTCATCAATGGGTCTGGGGGTAGGAGGAAGAGGAGCCTGGAAAGACTAGAAGAAGAGTTATCAGGGGCTTTGGAGCTGTGGGGGAGGGTGTGAAGGGCATCATGACGCTGGCATCTGGCCTGGCAGAGAGCAGGAAAATGCAATAGAGTCTGCATTGAAGAAGTCAGAGAGTTGAGGCACTATGATTACAAGCCCCGGGGAACCAAACTGCATCCACACAAACCGAGCCGCTTTGATCTGTCACAAGGAAAATAGGGTCTGTCACTGTCACAGCAGCAAAAAAGAAAACTTCTTTCTCTCTCTCTCTCAGCTTTAATTTGTTTTTAGCACTGAGAGTTTTTTCAAAAGCTCAGAGGGAGAAATGGACGGTCAAATTCATTCTCTAATCAACGCTCAAAGTTTCTTTATCCTCCAGGGATTAATGGCAGATTTAGTTCTGAATGAGAAATTGAAAGGGTTTTTGAAACATCTTAATTTTCCAAGTTCTTGACAGGACTTATCAACATTGCTGCCGCCAACAGAGCACTGACAGCAAATCAGTGATTGTGTTTTGTGTCTCAGCTACTGAGTCTGAAGTGGCTCAATCAAACTGACAGCAGGCTTATTGTACATGTGCCAGACCCTCTTTTATTCAGGAGTCTGCAATGAGGCAACTAGCTGAGTAACAACCAGGGATTACTCTACACAACACAGCAGATTACGTCAACTGCATCATGTTCAGCAAGTACAAACTGATTGAGAGTTCTGGCCA